AGACCCAAGAACTCCAAAGGTGAGGCTCACCAAGCCATTTATCTTTCTGCCCTTCAATGAACACCACATGTGTTTATCGGCCAGGTTGGCACAACTAACTAACTCATCCACGCTCAATTCAGAGGAGGACATGGAATGAGGGACATCATTGCTGATGTCAAATGGATCTTGGTTAAAAGCAGAGAATCCCAGAAAGATGTTTATTTGTGTTTTATTGATTATGAAGAAGCATTCGGTCTAATGGATAATAACAAACTATGGATAGCCTTGAGAAGAATGGGAATTCCAAAACACTTCTTCACTGTGCTCATGCAGAACTTGGATATGGATCAAGAGGCAGTCACTCAAACAGCACAAAAAAAGTTCAGCAGGGTTTAAGATCAGGAAAGGCATACAGCAGGGCTGTATCTTTTCGGCATATTTATTCAAACTGTATGCTGAGCAAATAATCAGAGAAGCTGGACTATATGAGGAAGAACCAAGCTTTCAGATTGAAGGAAGGTGTGATAGTTAAGGTTTATTGTGACAACCTGGATGATAAACACATGTAGGACTAATTGAAGGGCAGAGAGATAAATGGCTCGTTGAGCCTCACCTTTCTGGTTCTCTGGTCTCTTGTTTTCTGATGGTCAGACCAGTATGCGACTGCCTTAGCTGGTTCTTTGCCTGAGCTGGCAAGGCTCACTTCCTGGGAGAAACCACATGGACCTACCCTGATGTAGCCCTGGGTGCTGGAAAAGCCTCATGGAAACCCCTGCCAGCACTGAGATGCTTACAGGCTCACTGATTCTGCTTTCCTCCTGCAGTCAGCATCGTTGCGTGTGTTTTGTGAGTTTGAGGAGGACTTTGCAGATCGGTGTCAAACATATGGGCTAATATCAGACTTATGGGCTTGGACTGGACTGGGTTGGGATGCTTTCTGAATGTACCCTTACCTTTTATATAAAACTCTCTCTTATATACATATGAATTTCTGCGGATTTCTTTCTCTAGTCTACCCAGACGAACACAGAGGCTTATTAACAACCTGAAATGTGCAGATGACACTACCCTGCTTGCTGAAAGTGAGGAGGACTGGAAGCACCTGCGGATGAAGATCAGGGGCTGCAGTCTTCGGTATGGAATGTAACTCAGTGTCAAGAAAACCAAAATCCTCACGACTGGACCAACAGGTCACATCATGATACGTGGGGAAAAGATCAAAGCTGCCAAGGAATTCATCTTGTTTGGCTCCACAACCAATGCTCGTTGAAGCAGCAATGAAGAAAGAAATGGAGAAAGAAAGGAGAAGAGGAATCGTACACAGACCAAGAGGATGCTGCACGGTTAAAATCAGGACAGGTATGTGGAAGGTGGACCCTTTCGCCATACTTGTTCAATCTGTCTTCGGCATGAACAATCCAAAAAAAAATGGACCTCCTTCAAGAATGAGGAAATGCTCATGAATAACTCTCCGTAGGCAGATGAAATACCCTTGCTCGCTGGAAGCAAGGAGGACACGAATCGCTTACTGATGGAAATCAAAGACTGCGGCCTTCGCTGTGGACTAGAACACTCGATGTAAAGAAGCCGAGATCCACACAACTGGACCAATATGGAAAAGCTGATAACCATAGAAAACCGTAGAAGAGATTGGTGTTGTCAATGCTCTCATTTTACTACGATCTATAATCAATGCTTGTGGAAGCAGAAAATTAAATGCTGTATTATTGCATTTGGCAAATCTGATGCAAAATATTTTTTTAAGTGTTAAAAATCTAAGAGGTCACTTTGAGGACTAAGGTGTCCCAGACTTAGTTCCCTCACATAGGAATGTGAAAGTAATATAATGAATAAAGAGGAAGTCGTGCATTTGAATTATGATGTTGGTAAAGAATATTGAAATTCTCATTGGCCGAAGAATAAACAAACCTGTCTGGAAAGAAATATAGCCAACAAGCTCCTAGAATTAAGAATGGCAAGAAGGACATTGCTTTTAAAAATAAAGCTTATCATCAATCTTAAGAAAAATTAAGTTCTTGTACTTAGGACTTGTTATCAAGAAACCAAAGACATCCTGCTTCATCAAGAGTCCGTGAAAAAGTGAACGCGGTGAGGTGGGTGGGCGCTGTGTTGCAACAAAGAGCTCAAACACAATAACTGTGAGGCTGGTGCAGGACAGCGCAGTGTTTTGTTCTATTGTTCACACGGTTACTGTGAGTTGGAACCAATATGCATTTGTGATAAGCTGTCACAGTGGCCACAAGACACTGATGCAGACATCAGGCTCTGAGGGTGGCAAGCTTTCCTGGCCTGGCTTTCAGCCTATATACTCCCACTGTCCCTCTAGTGTGCCCCCATCCCAGCAGGCCACACCAGGACTAGGTCCTTTCCTTACTGCTCATGCCCACTGCCTCATCAAAGCCTGATGATCTACCTGCCCGGACAAAGCTCCACCCACTGCCCTATATGCCCTTTCTTCAGTTACCCCTTAGGTTTCTTGGCTCCCCCACCCAAATTCATTGCCATTAAGTCAATGGCTGGCTCATAGTGACCCCCTGTGGGTTTATATGGCTGTAACTGTTAATGGGAATAGAAAGTCCAGAATTTCTCCTGAGGAGCTGCTCTTGGTCTCGAACTGCCAACTATGCAGATTGCAACCCAACGCATAACCACTACACCACCAGGGCTCCTTTCTTCCAATCTCTCTTAAACTGCCAGCAGAGTATGCCTGTTAAAACAGTCTCATCCTGTCAGATCCTGTCTCAGCACCCTATTGAGGTGGGCCCAAGGATTGCCATCCATACTGGGGAGCCTAGCACTGGAGGCCACAGCCCCAACAGGGTTCCCCACAGCAGCTCAGCCACCCCCCACCCCCTGCATGTCCCTGTGAGCTCGCTCCCTTGAAGCTGTTCCAACCTGGAAAACTCCTACCAGACTCATGGCAAAGTAACTTGATGGAGATGAGCTGTCAGGAGTGGGCTTTCCTGCCATGGGGAGGGAGGCTGTGGTTGCCAGGTCAAGGCAGAGCAGTGGCAGAGCCCGGCCTCCTCCCCTCACAGCAGGCATGCTTTGGCAGCAGCAGCAGTACAGAGCAACTCTGGGAGGAGACGAGCCTCCTCGCCCATCAGGGAGGACGCCACAGTCTGACAGCAGCGGGCAGAGGCTTGGCATCAGCTGCATCCGAGGGGAAGACAGCCAAGGTCACTGGCACAGCAAGGTCTCTTCCCTCAGCTGGAATTGTCACCGGCACAGGGCAGTCAGGGTGGCTGCAGGAAAGACTGGCATTAGGGGTGACTCTGCTGGACAAACAGGATCACTGGCCTGCTCAGGAACTCCCTGTGCCCTCCTTTGTCCAAGGCAGTGCCCAGAGCCTGCAGGAGGCCCCGGGAGCAGCAGCTTACAAATCAGGGGCTGAGGACACGTTGCCTCTGCATCGTATGATGGTGGCCAATGGAGATCAGGTTTCATTTGGCTCACCGGATGTTTTCCAGAAATTTGAAGCAACTTTTAAAATCAGGAGCATTCACATAAAAACTCTGATGTGGACTCTCTTAACAGTCAAGAGGAGTTGGCCACCCTAGCCCACATTCCCACGAGGCCACAGTTAGTGGCACTAAGAAGCTGCTGCTTTGGACAGGTCTCGGGGCTGCCGAAGGCCCCCGATAAGGCTAGGGACCCATTGATGGCATGGCCTACAGCATGCTCATCACTGGTCTTTTAGCAAGTAAGTGTTCTCTGTGCCAGTGTCTGTATCAAAAGCTGGGCAGAGGTATACACCCCTAAGACGTGGGGTCACAGACTCACACAGGGACATGTTCAACTACGTGCATTGTGGCACTATTCACAATAGACAAAGGGTAGAAGCCACCCAAGTGTCCATCAACAGATGAACGAGTTAATGCAATAGGGTCGATCCCCATGGTGGAATTATTCAGTCTTTTTTTTTTTTTTTAAATCCTTTTGTTGGGGGCTCATACAACTCTTATCAGAGTCTATACATGCATCCATTGTGTCAAGCACAGTTGTACATTGGTTGCCAGCATCATTCTCAAAAGATGTGCTTTCTACTTGAGCAGTGGCACTGACAGAGAACACACTGCGGTTGTTTAAAGCTATGAGATTTATGAGGGCCTGTCCCAGCAGCCTGAGCTAGACACCCTGGGAAATGATGTGCCCGAGACCACAGGGCTGCAAGCCCGGCTCCCTCCATCGCAGCAGCGCAGAACAGCATCAGGAAGGGTCCCAGGTTCAGGCTTGAGCCCTGTTCTGTCCCCACAGGCACAGCAGCAGAGCTACACACTACCCACCCAGCATGCTGCCTCTGGGCACAGGAAGGCAGAAGAGTCTCTCCCCAGATGGCTCCCTGGTGCTTCAGCTCTGACTTCAGGCCCATCATGCTCCCAGGGCCTGCAGGGTTCAGCAGAGCAGCCTCTGTGGCCAGGGGAAGAGAAAGGGACCTAAGCCCACACACCAACCCCAACCAGAGAAACAGAAGCGAGACAAACCTTTACTTCCACCCCTTCCCCAATCAATCGGTGATCCAGGACTGACCCAGGTCGACTAAACAAAGACTGTTCAGGAAAACCATTCCCTGAGGTTCAGTGAGCCCCCAAGGACTCCCCAGGCAGGCTAAGGGGCCTCTCAGGAGATACAGGGACGTGTCTCCGCATCCTTGAGGAGCAGTCTGGGGCCCACATACAGTCCCCCCGAGGACCCAGCAAGGAAGACCCCAGTGTGAGTCCCAGAATGAGCCGTCTCCTGCCCTGGAGGACGTCACATCTCTTCACCAGCTTGTTTCAAACCTGCGTCCAAACGTTTCTTTCCGGTCAGCACCTCCTGTCTACTTTGGCCAGGGGCACACTGGGTTCCCACCCAAAGTCTCCCGAAGAAAGGGACCCCAGGCACACACACGAGCACACACACACAAATTGAGGAGCCCCTGCATGGGGTCATCCCTAAGTCCTCTTCCAGAGTCTGGGTCCCTCGGTGGGAAAAAGCACAGGGGAGAGGGTTCAGCCTCAGGCCACAGCTTTGCAACGCTCCCAGCTGCCACGCCAGACCTGACAAGATCCTGAGGGGAAGCCGGACTGTCTGAGGTCGCACTGGGCCTTCAGTCTAGCCCTGGCAAGAAATGTGCTTGCCCCACTCCCGCCAGAGCCATCCTCAGCCCTAGGAGAGGTGGGACCTACCAGGCACATTAGACAAGGCGTACACTCCACACTCCCCATCAGCCGGGTCAGGCTGACACTAGGCAGGAACTCAGAGAAGGAGACGTGACCCCACACCCTGGGCTGACAGCTGAGGCCCACGGCCCAAACCTGGGTGCTCGGCGGCACACAGCTGGGGCTCAGACTGGGACAGGCTCACCTCCTCCACACCCCAATAGCCACTCTCACCCAGCCTGCTTCCAGTCCAGCTTCATTCTGACCTGTTCAGCTGGCCCTGCCCAGCACCTTCGAAGGCCAGTGGATTCTGGGCATGCAAAGAATTGCACAATTCCTTCCTGTGCTCTATGTTCCGGGCTCTCAGCAAAGATAGGCAGACGGAGGCAGGGCAGGAGGTGGGAAGAAGCATCCAGTAAATGCTGCCAAAACACCAGCAGAAGCCCAGAGCATGGGGGAGGGCCAGCAGGCCAGCGGGAAGGACTGCCACGTCCAGGAAACCCGGCACTACGTGGAATTCGGGCTTAGAGACATGGCCAGGGGCACTGGCCAGCCCTCCGTGCAGCTGCACCGCACCCAGTGGGAGCCAACCCAGACAGCAGGGCCACCCCACATCTTCCAGAGAGGTCAGCCCAGAGGCACCAACACAAAGTACCAAATGGTCCTTTTCTGGGCCAGAAGCAGGCTGTGGTGGGTGAAGCTCTCAGAGAAACAGGTCTTTCTACTGCACTAGGCAGAGACCCAGACTTGCTGGGGCAGCTAACGCAGACCCAGGCCTGGGGTATTGTCCCACCCCACATGTCACTGTCACCCTACCGGGGGACGCTTCCCTCTACAGAAAAGCTCATGTAAGGGAGCAGGCAGAAATGGCAGAAACTGGGCAAGGCCAGGGCAGGACAGCTGGATGTGCCTCAATGGAAGTGTGTGTATGTGGCAGGGGAGGGAGGGCAGGCCGGGTACTCTCTGCAAGCCAGGCCCATATTGACACATCACAGGAGAGGAGGGGCCGGGGGAGTATTGATTGGCTCCTGAAAGCACTGGGCTTCTGAGGGAACAATTCCTTTGCAAAGGTGTCTGACCCCATTTCTTGAAATTAGAATGGTGCCCTGCCAGCCTGCACCCAATTTATCTGTCGAGCTGGGAAGTCGAGGACCCTAAAATAAATGAGCAAGACTTTCTGTGGAGTGATTGGAATCGCTCCATAAGTCGACGAGCCGGAGATGTAGCCCTAGCCTGGGGTCCCTGGAGGACTCACCCTGAACGCATGCATGCAACCCAAGACCTCAAGGCCAGGGTCCCTTTCTGCCATGCCCCTCCCCCCACCCAGGCCACAGCCAGAACACCCTGCTGCGGAGCCTGGGAGGAGTGGGTGAGGCTGGGAGGCCTCCTGCCCATTCCGGGGCCCACTGAGGACCACCGTTAGATGGGTGCTCTGGCCTCAGTGAGATGCAGAGACGGCTGGGTTGTTTGGGCAGTTGCCCGGAGGCCTTCCAGGCCCAGAATGCATTTCTGCTCAAAGGTGAAGAAGAGAAACCCCAGAGTCTGTGAGGAAGGCCAGGGTGCTGACACCTCCAGGGTCTCTGCGGCACCCTCCCCGCCCCTCCCCATGCTGTCCCCAAGGAGAGAAGGGGCCACCACAGGAGAGGAGGGAGAGAACGCAGACCTGAGACAGCATGTTTGCATGGACCTGGGTCCTGGAGAGAAAGATTGGTGGGTGGGGGTAGCGGGGATGGGGGTGGGGGGTGAGACGATGGTGTATGGAGGGGTCTTCTTTAGCGGTTGAGCTTGGCCACAAGACCCCAGGTAGGCCCAGATTCCTCGACTTGCCAGCCCTTGGGCAGCTGTGAGAGAGGCCCTGGCCTCCGGGAGGCCTGTGTTTCGGATGCTTGTTGCCAAGTGTGCCCCTACACATCACTCTGTCCTAGCGCCGCTGCCACCCCGTGCCCTGTGGTGCCAAATGACTGCCGGCCACCACATGCCCCAGGAGGATCAGGGAATCCTCCAGCCAGGTGAACCCCAGGGCTGCCCACCTTCTGCAGCCTCACCTGTGTCCAGGGCCTGGGGCGGCCCCAAAGGAGGGGGCTCCAGGGTGGGCGGGCGGCGATACAGCACGTGTGCTCGGCCCTGTTCGCCCTCCTGCGCTGCCTGCCCCTTCTCCAGGGGCTCAATGAAGAACTCCTCCTCTTCCATCCGGATCAGGCCAGCCTGTCGGGCAGAGAGGAAGCAAATTCAGACCCTGTGCACTGCTGATTGTATAGGCACCTAGATCTAGAAGCCCTGAGCAGCAGCCCCCATATACCTCCTACCTGGTGAGGCAGGAACCAGCAGATTCTGCTCAGCACCCCAGACTAGCTAGAGGAGGGCACAGAGGGCTCTAGAGGGCTCCCATCTACCTAGTGCCTCTCCTGCCAGGCCCTGAAGCCAGGCCACTGAGGCAGGAGCACCTCCCAGATCTGAGCCTGGACTTCCTCATCCTGAAGTGAGCATAATGGTGCTCTCTGCACAGGATCCTTGTAGAAATCAATGGAAAGTCAGGTGGCTTTAGCACTGTCTGCACTGGGGGTCACCAGGTCCACCCCCAAGGGCTCTGCAGTCCATGGGAAAGACTTCAGCCAGATTGCAGCCCCTGGAGCCCCGGGGAGAAGGGGAAAGGCTTCTAGCGGAGGGACCCCAACAGGTTACCCAGGAATTCCCCCGGGAGGTGGGGGTAGAGCAGCACCACCAGTGTGGGGAACAGTCCATGGAGAGTCACAGCAGCATGAATGGCCCCTTCCCAGGCAGCATGCACACGTCCTGTTGTAAGCACCTAGGACCCTTCCTGGGGATACACATGCTCTGGTCAGTACTGAGCCCCACCATGGAAAGGGGCTTGACTGGGCCATCCTACCCCCTACCCCCAGTTGCTCTCCTTCCAAAGAAGTCAATGGGTTTTAAAGCCAAACCCATGTAACACTGCCTGAGGGGGTCAAGTGCCCAGAAGGGTCTATCCATGGCCCTGGGAGAGTGATGCAAGCCAGGTCCAGTGCCACCCTCCCTCCCCACAGGAATCCAGGTCCAAGAGAAAGGTCGGGACTGTCCACCCGGGGCTGTTGGCCACAGATGTGTTCAGTTTGGCCCAGACAGGATTTTCCAAATCTGAATTTGTTTCCAACACTTAAAATGATGAGATCTCATGTTCATCACTGGACTTCCAACTTTCCTTGGAAAACACCAGGCTCAGACCAGTGGCTGACTCTGCAGCAGGACCGGGCACCGGGCACCTGGCTCTGGGAAGTGACTGCCACGGGCAGAGCATGCACCCTGCATCGGGCCACCGTCCAGGTGTTTTTATCCATGTGGATTGCTCACCTGAACTCTGTATACAGCTGAGCAGCCAGCTGCCTCTTCCCAAGACAGAGCGGGCCCTGGGGAAGCCTTCTGAAGCAGCCCTGCCTAAGGTCCCCAGGGTTCAGGCCAACCTGCCCTAGGGAGCAACTAGAGGCCTCCTGGTCCCTCTTGCTTTCCTGCCACTGTCCTCCTGCCCCCAGCACACACACCATCACCATCACTAGGACAACTGGTCCCACCAAGAGTGTGCACCCTGTGCCTCCGTGTGGACGCCCCTGCTCTCTGCCGCACATCGTCTCCTGGTGAGTCCTTATTCTCCAATCAATGCCTGCCTCGGCTCCAGCACACACCAACCCCCACCCCCGACCGTGGGCATGTGGCTGCCACTGGAACTCTCTGCCATCACTGGCCCATCCAAGGTACCAGCTCCGTATCCCCAGCTCTGTATCCACTGTGGCCGCCCTGCAGGTACCGCTCCCTTGGGCCACGCCCTGGTGCCCCAACCAGAACTTTTAACATGCTTGACTGAGTAGCTCACCCGTAAGAATCAGGAGAGCTCCCCAAAATGACCAGATTTGCAGATTTTTGTGAAAAATTGGAAATGCTGTCTGCCCAGCACACACTCCAGCATCACGGGCCTTCAGGAGGTTTCCCGATTGGGTTGGGATGGTGCGTATACAGTGTACGTGTGCCCCTCACTGATACAGCCTGACAAGTCCCTGGGCCCCTGAGCTTGCAGCACCTGGCACCACCCCCCAGATGACAGAGACTGTCCTGTCTGATGGCATCCAGTGCGGCCAGAAAGCCTTTGCCTCCTGCCTGTGTGGACAAGGCAGGTACAGAGCGGCCCTGCAGGCGAAGCAGGAGCAGCCCTCCTTCTTCCCCAGCTGCTCGCCGGCCCCTGCCCCGTGGCCAGCTGGGAGTTCTGAGGCTAGAGACCCATTCCACCCTCCCCCAGGGCTTACACGATGTCTTCCATTAGCGTCCAAACCAGGGTGGACACAGGAGAGGCATCCAAACTCACTTGTACCCTCATGGGGCTAATACTCCTGTGGTGCCACAGACCACCCAACTCGAGTGGCAGTGCCAGAGATGAGTGGCGGGGGTGATGGGGTGGGGTGGCACATGCAGACCCCAGGGGAACACAGAGCATGGGCAGTTGACCCAGACTTGGGTCTCCAGGGAGTTGTCCAGTGTGGGGAGTCTACCCCCAACCCATACAACCCCTGAAGGGTAGGAGGCATTGGCCAGGTAAAGGAGTCGGACAGTGTTCTGGTGGAACCACACAACAAAGGCCCAAAGGCAGGCCACAGCCTCTTCACAATGCTGATCTGCAGCAGGACCGGGCACCGGGCACCTGGCTCTGGGAAGTGACTGCCACGGGCAGAGCATGCGCCCTGCATCGGGCCACCGTCCAGGTGGTTTTATCCATGTGGATTGCTCGTCTGAACTCTGGTGGATGGAAGCAGAGGGACAAGACAGCCCCGCAGGCTTCTGGCTCTGAATTGTGTTCCGGGATATGCTGGCTGCTGCAGAAAACGGATGGGGTGAAGGGCCCAAAATGAGCACAGGAAGGTGGGCGAGGGTGTTGTCCTCTCCCATGCCTAAAGTCAGAGGCCCGTGCAAACAGCCAGGCTGGAGATGTGTGAACCATCACTACGAGAGTCAAGAAGGTGGGACCCATATGGCTTAGAATCAACCTGACTCAAGTATGAAGAAGAAGGCAGGACCAAGGAGTCACACACACACACACACACACACACACACACACACACACACACAAAGTATCCAGGTCCTAAGGAGCCCTGGTGGCATCGTAGCTACATGTTGGGCTGTTAAGTGCAAGATTAGCCGTTCAAAGCTAACAGCTGCTCTGTGGAAGAAAGACAGGGCTTCCTACTCCTGTAAAGAGTTACAGTCTCAGAAAATCAAAGGGGGGAGTTCTACCCTGTCCTATAGGATCGCTATGAGTTGTAATCGAATCAATGAGAGTGAGTTTAAGTTTAAATCCCTGGTAAGTGTGGATTTTCTTCTATGGCAAAAGAAAAAAAAAAGACTGCAGATTCCGTTAAGGATCTTGAATGGAGAGATTATCCTAGACTATCCAAATGGAGTCTAAATGCAACCAGGTAGAGGGAGATTCAGAAGACACATCGACTAGGGGAAGATAGAGCAGAGAGATTTGAAATGTCAGTCATGTAGACTAGAGTGCTGTGGCCACAAGCCAAGGAATGCTGGCAGCCTCTAGAAGCTTGGAGAGGCCAGGAAAGACCTCTGCTAGATTCACTCACTTTGCTGTCATTGAGTCGATTCTGACTCGGAGTCCCTATGGGACAGAGTGGAACTGCCCCTGTGGGTTTCTGACACTGTAACTTTTTAAGGGACTAGAAAGCCTCACCTTTCTCCCATGAAGCAGCTGTTGGCTTCAAACTGCTGACCTAGTGGTTAGCAGCCCAATGAGTGACCCACTCTGCCACCAGGGTTCTAGTGGTTTCAGAGCAACCCTGATTTCAGCCAACACCTTGACATCAGCCCAGTGATAATGATCCTGGATTTCCAGCCACCCTCCTGAACTGTGAGAGAACTAACGTGTGTTGTTTTACACCACCCAGGTTGAGGCCATTTGTTACAGCAGCACAGGAAGAGGATGCAGAGTCCAGTAGACAGCCAGATAATGGGGAGCCAGTCTCTACGAGGCACAGGGAGGAGACGAAGAGCCAGGAGACCAGGACAACACTTGAGGTTTGCAGTGTCTGTGATTGCGGAGGGAGAAGTCCAGGAACTGAGAAGGAGCAGACAGGAGTCAGAGCGACGGGAGCCAAGGCCAGGGTGGACCAGGTCACCCGGGGCCATGGTAGGGAGAGGAGGACAGAGGGCCCGGGGGAAGCCTGCAAGCCCCCACACTCGTGACTCATGCCTGTGTCCTGGGGCCTCGCCAGGCCTGTAAGGGATGCCAGCACATGTTTGCTGCGTGAGTAAATAGTCCCGTGACAGCAGGACATGTCCTCTGAGAGAGGCAGGGGAGTGTGCGTGTGGGAAGGGGGGGATGTAGACCCTAGGCTGTCCCTTCCCACCAACACATGGGTGAGAATGTTTACAACAGCATGAATTCTTTCCAGAAGGCTGCCATGGACGTTTCACATGGCTGTGGTCTGAGCGGCAGTGTGGTATCTCAAACCGTCTTATTAATAGAAGTCATTTCGAGGCAGTGTGGGAATTTACTTTTCTGAAGTCAAGTGCTCTGGGAGCCTAGCATCATTTCTGGCTGGCTGGCTCAACCTGGCCAAGGGACCACAGCTTGCTGGGCCTCCAACTAGTTGCCTGTCAAATGGGGTCAGTGGGGGCTTCCTGGGATTGGCAACTGTGGGGAATATGTGCACCCTGGGACACATCAGAACCAGGAATGCCTAGTCCATGTTCCTCCAAGGGGCAAACTGAGGCCCAGGCAGGGACACACAGCATCTAGAAGTCAGATCCAGATGTCTATGGACGGGGCGTCTCCCTAGTAGGCCTATTGGGCAGGATATTGGAACATGAGAGCCATCTATAACATGGGCCTTGCAAGATCCTGGGGAAATCCCGGAAGGGCCTAGTGTGACGAAGAGGACAGCCCTTGGCCTCGTGAGGAGCAGCTCTCTCTGACCTGAAAGAGAAAGGGGTAGTCTGGGGCTTCCCTAGGTACCAGGGTTAGGAATTGACACACCAGCCTCCTACTGGCAGCCCACTGGAACAATCCTAGACAATGGGGATGACTGGGGCTGCCGTGAAGCCATTCACATGGTCTCTCTATCTCGCTCCTCACATAACCTCGTCAACCAGAGCCTCTCGCTATGAAGTATCAGGATCCACACATCTATGTGCTGCATTGATGAGCATGG